TGCTTGCTGCACAGTCATTGACTGAATAAATACTAAATCAATAAAAAGGTATTTCTAAACACTAGAACAAAAATACAAAAATCACCAGGGTGATAAGAGATGGTTTGTGAGAATTTTCCCTATGAAGACCTCTCTCTCAAATGTATACTAAGGTGTAATGTGAAAACGGAATGCAAAATGCCACCAATTACTGTGCAAGTTGTTCTTCTGCTGGCATGAAAGTGCAGCTGATTTACATATAATATTTGGAAATGAAGCAATATGATACACAAGACTTCAGAAACATCAGACAATCCTGCTATAAATTCTGCTGGCACCAACAAATAAATGCTGCCACTTAGAGATCAAAGGTAGCACTGCAACCATGATGTGTTCAATGTAAAACTCTAAAAATACTTGGTTTTCTTTTTAATGGGATTTGAACTGGAAACTCCAAGATAGCAAGGGAAGAATTTCTCAAATAAACTAAAGGAACATGCTTTTCAGTTTATCATGGGAAAATGCAGATATTTTCAATTAGACTGCCAGGATTTTTTTTGGAACAAGAAATTGTGCAGTGAAAGGATAAAAGTCTTCAGGAACTGGATACTCTGAGCAAACAATATGTTCATCAACTCATATTGTCATGTAAACAACATTACCATAATAACAGTTTCATCCTGCTCTGAAACATTGTGATGAAATCACAAGGTTTTGTACAGAAATGTTTGAAATATGCAGATATTTTTAAACAAAACACTGGCTATTCCAAATCATATTTTAGGAAAGTTGAATGTTGTAACACTGATGCCGTGTCAAGAATTAAAACACATAAAATTTACCTCTTAAAATACCAGAATAAATACATGGTAGATGCATAAGTTACTCTATGATCTCTAATTAATTTCAAAACATCATAAATGGCTTGGGTTGGGAGCAACCTTAACAATCATCTGTTTCCAAAACCTGTTCCACTAAATCAAGTTGCTCAGAGCAACAAAGTGTTTCCAGGGACATAAACAAAACAGATTAAATGGGAGTGTGATCCTGGATTCCATGGACACAGAAACTTGAGATGCAGTGTGTTATCTTGGCACTGGATACTAGATAATATTTGTTGGTTTATAATTGATAATAAACAACTGTTAGTATTGGCCTATATATCTGAGACCACAGAGATCACTAATGCTGCTTCTAGCAGTAGTCAATAAGGATAGAGAACTGTGAATAAAAAATAAAATTAAAAGTTACTTTTAGATATTGCCATTGTGCAATCATCCTAAATTTCCAGAGTAAATGACCTAGGTGCCTCAGCTGGCAAATATTCAGTCTCATGATATATCAACAGAAACAAAAGCGGCAAGAATGGAGCAAGAAGAATGTTTGTGGTCCTTTGAGAAGGTAGGACAAACATGGCAAGCATAGCCATACCCTTCTGACTGCCACCACCATTGCTACTGATGAAAGAGCTAGTGTTTAGGCAACTGTATAAGGTAGGAGCCAATCAAAAAATTATGGGACACAGTCATTTTCAGCTGGAGGATCCCAACAGTACTTTATAAGGACATATGCTTTTTCCACAAGAAAAAACTGAAAATAATTTTGAAGACTAAAATTTGTTCCTCCTGGATTATCTGGAGTACCACCTGGTTTGACAATGAGTCTTGACAGTTCCGTGTTTCAGGGATAAATTTTAATACAAAGATGGCATGCACCATGGCTTTGTATTAAAGACTGTTATTCCTTATAGTATCTCCTGAATTTTACAAATTTTTTATAACACACATAACTGCACATGGAGGAAGGGTGACTAGTAACACTTCTGTCCTCTCAACATACGAGAAGCAACCCCATGTTTTCATTTCATATAAACCGGTTTTAATTTGGGGATAAAGATTAGGAGCGTCAATAAAAGCAGCCTCTAACACCATAAACACAATTTAGAGAGTATTACCATTGAAGAGGAAAATAATTTCTTCCCCTTTTGCTGTTTTACAGATTTTGAAGGGTATTTTGCTCATTTGTGTTCAGGCAGCACTGTGAGAGAGATGTGACTCTGATCAACAGTATCAATATTCCTGACTCCAGCCAGTCCAAATGACAGCATTGGCATTGACCGGTGTGGGTAAAAAAAAGACAGTGCAAAATTAAAATTTTGAAACAAAACAAGAAAACTTAAAACAAACCCACAAACAAACAAACAAACAAACAAACAAAAATTTATATGGAAGGGGGGTTGGTTGAAATCTGCTACACTTTGGTATCCAGTGCCATTTCAGATGCTGCAGGCTATCCTGATCCAGCAGGTAGGAATTGGTGGTAGGTGCTAGGGAAGACTGTTTCATTCTTCCTGTCTCTGGATGGGACAGCAGGGCTTCTGAGATCTCTTCAAGAAGGGGCAGGGATAAAATCTAATCATCTAGAGCAAATCTGAAAGGAAATCTGTGTAGTTTGGGGAGACTGGGAATAATTACTGCAGTCCATGGTATCACAGAAATGCTCCTGGAAAAGGGTTAAGGCACAGCTAAACTGAGCTCATTGTAAAACGTTTTTAGCATACTTAATTAACAGAACACTTATATCAGCAGTTATAAAAAACACAGAATCATCACATGACAGCAGAAATCACACCTTTTTTGAGTTGAGTTAGGTTTGTATTAGGCTTATAGTTTTGTTATACAGAACTTAAATTCCATTAAGTTGTGTTTTATTCACAGTAAAACAAATTCTATAATAATAACATAGCAAAACACAGAATTTTAAAATCCTTCATGTGATAGACACCTATATGCAAGACACTGACTAGATTTTTCACTTTTTTTCTTCTGAAAATAGAATAGGAAGTGTGGAAAATATTATAATTTTAATACAATGAGAAAACACGAAGAGAAAATTTTTGAATGTGAGTGAATAGGCTAAAACACATTTGCTAATATAACTGTCATGTAATGTAACTTTTCTTTAGTCTCTCTCAGCCTCCTTTGGGCTGAATTCTTTTGGGATCCTCCCTCGTGGGGAGTCCCACTTATCTCAGTTTTTATGATTTGAAGAAAACTCCCAGGCTTATTAGATTCTGGTTTCTCATGTTTATTGGCTCCCCCAATACGTCAGGTGGATGGGTAATGTTTGAGCCCCCATCAAAAAGCCACTCCAACAAAGTGATGCTACACTGGGCTACAGTTAACCCTATAGTTGATCTTATCACTAACACACAGAAAGTAAAGCCTTTTATTCATGGTGCAGTCTCACAGGATGGTTACCAAGGTGATTAGCTAGTGCAATACACTTAATCTGTGGAGCTGGAGCATGGAATGGGATTCCTGCTAGCCCACATGGAGGACCCTGTTATTTTGGGAAACTTACTTTGTTCCATACAAATTTACACCAATTGCTGAATATAGCTGGTAAAATAAAAAACATCAAACGGTCAAAGCGAAGCCTGAATGAATTACAATGTGATGATGTTAGAGACCCAGACTTTTGGGGTCGTGGTATAGTATGGCCAGCCTCCTTTTTACTCCAGGAGCAGCTGCTGCTAAAGGCTTGTCAGCTCTAAAAAGGCTAGTTTGTTGGACCAAGAAAGAACTGAATTTAACATCAACAATGTTAAGTGAATTTTCAGCTGATGTAAGTAGTGTATGTCACACCATACTGCAAAATCGAGCTGCAATTGATTTCTTGCTCTTAGCACAAGGACATGGTTGTGAAGAGTTTGAAAGTATGTGTTGTTTGAACCTTACTGACCATTCAGTTTCAATCCACAAGCAATTAAATCAGCTACAGATGGGTTATACGCCCTGAAAGAAGATAGCATCCCCATTGGAAGTTGGTTAGCCAACTAGGGCATTACTGGATGGTTGAGGTCTCTTGTGCTGGAAGGGAGACAAATTTTACTTATGCTGTTAATTTGGATAGTAGTTTTAAGTTGCATGTTATCTTGTCTCCACTGAAGTGTAGAATGAGTTGCATCTAAAGCCTGGTTTGTGCAAAAAGAGAAAGGGGGAATTGTAGTGAATATTTTAACAGAAGGTGGGCATGATATTTTAGTAAAGGCCTGTCTGCGCAAACCAGCCTCTGGTATAAGTGACAATATTAAAGTCTAATGTCCTTGAAACTCTCCTGAAGCAGAGAGAATGAAGCAAAACAATATCCTTATGTATAAGAGAAAAAATGTAAACCTATGTGTATTAGCCAATGGTAACTTGCTTAGCCTGCAGACCCTGTAAAACCCTATAAAAGTGTGCTAAAGATAGAAATAAATGACATTCACTATACTTCTGTGAAGACTCATGAATAGCCTGAGTGGCTTTGCAATACTCAGCTTCTTGACTTCAGGAGAATAAGAGCTTCTCTAAAGGTCCAGACCAAATAACATATAAAAAATTTATCCTATTATCCGGTAAAAAAAGTAAAGTTTTGAAAATATGGTCAATGAGTTTTTATAATCCTTATTCATTTTTTGGATACAAAAGCACCACACAGTATCTTATGTATTGGAGCCCCCTAGTCTAAGACTAATAGTGATAATCAACAAACACACAAAACAACTCTCGTTCTTCAGCAGACAAGACACATAGCTACAAAAATGAGGATGCAAATGGTTTTCCTGCCTCTGAATCTCATGCAGCCTTTGTGGATCCTGATCTGTATTAAATGAAGGATGCTCAGCAGGACAAGCAATGTGATTCTCCCCAGCTACCTCAGCAACTGTACATTTCTCCCTAAGAGGCTGAGCAGAAATGGTGCAAGGCATAGCCATGCTTTCCACTGCTTGCTTGAGGAATGCCTGCTGTGTCTTTCACTTGTGACTCCTCTCTAAGCATCTAAGCATTCACCCCAGTGTTTTCTCATGAGCTCTTCCATCATTGTGGCTGCAGCAGCATCTCCTGGGGGAGGCAGCTCTGCCAATATGGCCCTAGGGCTCCAGAAGCCTTTGGCTGACACTTGGCTGTAAGGGTAAAGGAAAAATGCTTCAGTGTGAAGAGGAAAGAAAAAGCAACCAGAGACTGCATTAAGGAAATAGCCATTTATTTCCTTTTTCTTGAGTAAAGGCTTGCTCTTGCCCTTCTAGAGCTGATCATGGCGCTGCCTCTTTCTGGAGTGGGAGGCATCAGGTGACCTAGGAGACCTCCTCTTTCGGCGGCACCGGGATGTCGCAGGTGCATGGTCACTGTCATGGCCAGGAGCAAAGGAACCTGCAGCCACTCTTGTCTCCCCCACCTCTTCCTGCTCTGCAGGGATAGACACAGATGGGGTGTGGCTGGGATGTCCATGGAGGGCAGTGTCTGATGTTCTGGCTTCCTCCTCAGTGTTGAAATTTGCGATGCCACTGGATGAGGCCTGGCTGATGGTGAGAGCACCCTCCTGGGGAGCAGGGGGATCAGAGCTGGCAGCAGGGATCTCATCCTCCTCCCTGCCAGTGTGAGGAGAGTGCCGCAGCCTCCAAACCTCCTCACTGCACTGGTTCTCAATGATGTTGAGGATGCCATGGACCAGTGGTGTAGTGTATTGCTGGAGACGGGGCTGTAATCTCTGGATCAAGACTTCCCTGTCTGGACCATAGACACAGAGTGCAAGCACGATGCCACTCTCTGCACTCTTCACTTGATACCACTTGCCCCCATATATTATCTCCAGCCCCTGGCGCAGCCACGGACGCACAGGGTCCAGGAGGTTCCGTCGTCTTCGGAAAAGTTCTGCCCAAAGCTCGGGCAGGATGCCACCCACAGCCTCTGGTCCTGCAGCCTGCTGTTCAGCAGGGGTTGTTTCTTCTTGTGGAGAAGAATCAAGGGAATCTGCAGGGCCAAGGGGTCTGCTTTCAGCCTGGCCTCTAGGAGGTTCTGCTGCCTGGCTGCTGGTCTCTGGCAACCCTCCAGGAGGTGTGATGATACAGTGTAGGTAGTCATCTCCACCACGATCAGAAAACTTCACTGTCAAGATGGAACTTCTGCAGAGTGGGCAGGCAGGATTTCTTTCTGTCCAACGCAGGATGCAGCCAAGGCAGAATTGGTGGCCACAGGGCATTGCGTAAGCGATGTCATCTGGTACATCGAAGCAGATGGGGCAGCTCCACTCCTTCCCTGTGGCCATGTGTGCTTGTTTCCACAGGCTGGCCCAGGTTCTGACAGTACCTGAATTTACAGAGCAACGGATGTGAGGTCACAGTCATAATCTACCACCAGGATTATGATTATTCCTAGGATTATTAGGATTACTATCACCTCCAGCACCCAGTGATATTACAGTGTGTTGTCTGCCCCTGTGGCTCTTGTGCCCCTGGCCCTCTTGCTGACTGCTAGTTGGAGGCTGCCCTCTGCAGGAGTCCCCGCTGCACCCCTGAAAGGAGGGCATCACCAAACCATGAAATCTGAGTGAATGGATCCATGGCTGTTGAAAAACAGCAAGGTTAAATTTTGGTCTATCACAGTTCATCAGAAGTTCAGCACAGGGAGCTCAGAAGGCCAGGAAAAGTTTCAGATGGCACTATGAGGAATGGCTGGATTTCACAAGCCATGAAGGAGTGTTTCCCAAGAGGTAGCCAAAATGCACAGATAGCCTGGACAGGAGAGCTGTCCTGACAAACATGTTGGGAAGGGGAGCCTTGCAAGCGAAGAGCATCAGTGCTATCTGCAACATCATGTAAGTCTGACATTGCCTAAATAATGCTGTCCCAAATCCCAAGTCTGGGACCAGATCAATCCATGCTGGAAGCAATAGGGAAAAGGGTCATTGAGGTGGAGTTGTTTATGTCAGTAGAGGCAGGACTGGAGAAAGTGAAGCACAAGGGCATCTGAGGAGGGGAAGAAAAGACAGAGCCTTTGGTGACTGGCATGAAATACCTATGGTAAGCAGAAGACATCAGTGACAAGAAGTGGAAAGTGGAGCTGCAGGTGCCCCTGATGTCTGCAGAGGTCAGTGGAACATTGGGAGAGACATCTCCTGTGCATAACTGAACTGTGGAGGATGATGTCACAGATGGGCTGACTGTGACCGGCCCAGTGTTCTCTGCTGCTCATGACTCCTCTCCAAGCATCACACCAGTGCTTTCTCAGGAACACTTCATGATCTGGAGCATTATGACACTCCTTCCATGTCTTGTTTGTTGTGACAGATTGCAGAGAGCAGAGAATGAAGAGCTGCTACCCCTCACTGGTGTCACACATTGCTGAAGGGTCATGGCCTTACTCATGGTCACCAGCTGTCCTGGGAATGGAAAAACTTCAAGAAATGTCCAGACTCTCAGTAATGACACCCTCCTGGCTCCCCAAGCCTCAAACTCACCCCAAGGCCAGATCCAGGGTGGCGTTTCCTTGCACAGCTCACCTGCATTGTTACAAGCGTTCTGTGGTAGCTGGCTACCTGAATTAGGGAAGAATGTTGATGGGGAAACAATGTCTCCTGGATGGGCACTGGTAGCTGATGGCAATCTCTAATGCATCACCCAGCACCAGGAAGATCGTGGATCACTCATCCAGACCCTGCACATACACTTGGCAGGAGTCCATGAAGCCTCTTGCAAGTCTAGGAACACTCACCTTAATTGTTGTTGGAGACTGCGAATTAAGAGGTTCTCCTTAATACATTTCTGATTTGACAGAAGACAGTTTCAAACTTCACTGTGTTTATGTATGATGGGACTGTAAGGCTCAACATTTGAAGTGTGTATATCGTTTCTTAACATACTAATGTCAAATTGTATGGGGTAGGTGGGTAGGATTTATTGAGGAGATAAGGTGATGGTTGCATATTTTTCCAATATTTATTCTAGGGTCTTTTGTGGCACTCATTTCCACAGTAACATAATAGCTCATGCCCTCATTCATCACTTTTATGAAGGTAAAAATATAGAAATTGAGATTCACAGTTGAAAAAACTAAAATATGTCAGAACTGCACCAGAGAGAGAATATTAAAATTTAGATCTCTGTAGTCCTAATCCATTGTTTTAATCCAAATTAATCTGGATCTTTACTGGAGATCAAAGTAACTAATTATTAAATAAATAAAATAATAAATAAAATAATAAATGAATGAATGAATGAATGAATGAATGAATGAATGAATGAAATAATCTTAGTTTTCATTTTCAGTGTTTACCAAATAATCTCCATTTGACTGATGTACCTACACCATGGAAAATGAAGAGACAACATCTGTCATTTGAAATACTTAGAATTTTTCAAAAAAGTTTTCTCAGAGTCTCAGATCAGGAACTGTGCCTCAGTATGAGGATGTGAACATGAACTGGATAAACCTAGAAAAGAAGTGTCTGTCTCTGGATTATGTGGAATGTCCTTTTCTGAATACCTTATTCAGATGGAATCTGAATGCCCTTAAGTCATGGAAGAGTAGATGTAGTGTCAATAAGTTCAGACCACATATCTCTTCTCACTATTACGTTTTTCTTAAAATTAATCCCAGCGTCATATTGCACCAATGAGTTTGAGAGGTTTTAGTATCCGCTACCTTTTCTTACAGATGAGACCTGTTTCTAAGGAAATTATGTGTTCTAGAGTAAAGCACATGTGTGTAAAACATTCGGTGCGTTGCAGCATGACTTGGGTTTCTGTAGCATGGCAGTCCTGTCAGTAGGGAAGCCAGCACAGACTCACTTCCAGGAGCAGGCAGCAGGACAGTCACTACCTGTTCAGCCGCTGCACTTGGTGCCCGCAGGCGCCGGTCGGTCAAGGACCGCTCCCTGCGGTTCGGGAGGCACCTGAGCCAGTCCTCTCTGCCTCTGCTGTTACTGACATTTTTGTTGTAGACTTGATTCTTCCTTAGGGGCTCCCCCCAGAGCCGCCGCTTCCCCGCGGGCTCCCTTGCCCTGGAGCTGCTCTGCTGCAGGAGAAGCCCCCGAGACCCGAGATCTGCGGGTCGGGCCGGTCCCGAGCCTCTCCCCTCAGCAAGCCAGGAAGAACGTCTGATTTAGTTTAAAAAAATATATATATATTTTTTTTTTTTAGCATCTAATTTGTGCCAGGTGCCGATTGTCTGGACTGCCCAAATGTGTCAGAGATCTGCTCTCACCGTGTCCTAAAGCTGAGAGACTCTGAATCTAGGTGCTGAGAAAGGAGATAATTCTAATTAATTTACTCACTCTGTATTGAAAGTATGCTTATGTATTGGGTTCGTGTGGCCAGGTGTGAGTAGCGGCAATGGGGGAGGGAGGGCAAGAGCGTGGGGTGTTGCTTAAGGAGGTGGCTCTTACTTTTAAAGTACAATTCAGGGACACTTGGTTCCAAATAAAACTTTGCAAACATGCCTCCACTGCATTTTCTGAATGTGAATACAGTTGTATGAGTGACTCAAAAGCCCAGGTTCTCAGTTTCTTAACTCCAGGGAGTTCTCAGCTTCTTAACTCATCCAGAAGTCCAGTCATGACTGTTTACCATCAGTATCAATAAATATATCTTTATGAGATGACATATTGGGAGTGAAATGGGTGAGAAGACTGGAATTGTGAAGACATTTAGAACAAAGGTCAAGAACACCAAGGTAAATCCAGTATGGGGAAAAAAACAGAGCAGGAAAAATAAGAGACAAGGGACAGAAGCAACAGAACTTTCTCCATGAATGACTGAAGACACATCAGTAAAGAATGGCAAAAATAACCACTCTTCTCCACAAAAGCCATCTTTGGCTCTTAGGCTTTATGCAAATTTGTGCTGACTCCAACAGATGTCTTGCATGCTCTCAAAAGGAATTGTGATTGCCCCATAGGAATACAGCCCTCCCCGCTGAATTAATGCAATGTTCCAAATTTAATAAACAAACATCTCTGCTTCATCATATTTCAGTTTTGCTATTGTGATTTGTGATTTCTTTGAGACTATACACTATGTATTTTTGAAGCTGTACATTGTTAAATGCAAAACGTATTGGGATTGTTCCAGCTGAAGAATGGCTTGATTCCAAGCCTTGGTAAAATTATCCCTCTATGAGGGGACTTTAAGTCCACCCTCAAAACTAGTTATATATTAACTAGTACTAGAAAGTTCCTTGTTCTTTATGTTCTCATTGGCTAACTTTTGCTGCAATGATTATAATATTAACCATTTGTTCTTACTAGATCCTTCCCTCAGACCCCACCTTAACTCCGCCATGTCCCACAATGTATAAATGCCTGTGCCCAACCCTGTACCCTGCTTTTTCCAGCTCACCCCCTGTTGTTTGTTGGGTGTCCTGTTTGTTGTTTTTTGGGCTTATTAAAGGTTTCCTCTTCAGTGACTGGATCAAGCCTGTCTCTCTGCTTGAAGCTGCCACTATTGGGAAATCCCGACAACAGTAGCAGATGGCCTTACTATCCAGGTCAGGGCTGGGCTGTTACAAGAAGGCTTTCTTTAGTATATAATAACCCAAATGTCACAAATTCCAAACTGTTGTTTCTGGTCCATTTCTTGCTTGTTTAAAGTCTGTGTTTCTGCTAAGGATTGTAAGGTTTATGTCCCTGTATTCCATATTAAATACAAGGAGTTATAGCTTTATATGTATAATTCGTAGTGCTTTGAATGGAAATTTTAAGAATATAGAATAAAGTTCCTTCAATGAAATAATCTCACTGATACCAGTGAGATCAAATAAAAGTAAAACACTACTTCGCAAAAGCAAGAAAGATAATTTGATTTTAACTAGCTTCTGTGCTAGGACAATTGATAGCCAAACACTGCAAAATCAAGAAATCACAGTGATATTAATACATTCAAAGAGTGAGAACTAAAACATAATATTTAAAATATTAAATTTAGTTCTACTGATAAATTCTCAGCAGCAATAAATATAGCAAGTATTAACATCATATGAGAATAAATCAATGTGTTTTCACCTCTAAAGCTTTTTAATCCTCTCCAGTAGCATCAACAAGGTTAACCCTTTCTTTGAATGTTTTAGGCTAGTGAGCATCTGCAGTGTGACTTAACAATAATGATGATAATAAAAATCAGGAAATCCATTATGTTAATTTAGTTGTATTAATTATAACTCAGCTGAAGGGCTGTACTCTTGTGTTCACAGTCCACTTCCTCACATAGTATTCCAAGAAGACACTACTAACATCAAAGTTGAATGGTTTTATGAAAGTTTATTTTCAACAGTAAACTCTACAGACGGAGCCTCTGTGCTTCAGGTACCTTTCCATTCTTAGGTGATGTGTGTGGTGCCTCTTGGTTCTTTTGGTCCCCTCCAGATCTTCCAAGAGATTCTGATTTGCTGTATGCCCCAAACAGAAAAATAAAGATCACTTATAGCTGTTGTAGTGCATCTAAAAATCTTGGTATCTCCTAAGGGTAAAACTCACCTCTGGTTTGTGTAATGTTAGCTCCTACCTGAAAACCTTCTTTCCCTTCCCCCTTCCCATTGGCTGTGACCTCCCTGCATCCCCTAATCACCTCTGCCCCCTGGTATAAGAGATAAGACCCAGAGCATTTCGCTCTCTCTCTTGCCCCGGATGGACGACAGACAATGAACCCGGGATTATTCCAGCAAGTTTGAGCCTTCTGTGTCTAGATACTTTGAGTCCGTGTTGTATCCACTCCAGGACCCCCTCCGCCGCCTGTGCCCAGAGACGAGCAGGGCTCTCACCACGGGGGGTGGGACAGAGGGGTCCCATCGGGAGGAAGGATTGCAACACATAGCAGCCATGGCTGTCATAAAAACATCAGGAGGAATACCTCTGTGGTATTTGTTGATACAAGCAGGCAAATTATACTGTGTTCCATATTCAGGTGATAGATATTTATTTACACCTTCAGGCAATTTTTCTGAGAAATTCTCGAACACACCGTAACACCTAGGCTATTGGACAGCTTCTATTAGCTGGTAAGTTTTGCTTGGCTACCTTGCTACTTGCATCATTCTGAACAAATGTCCCTGCACATGACATGTTTAAAACCACCATAAAGGACAGAACTCTAACATTTACATTTGAATGAGTTGAGCAACTGAGTAATAAGTCATACAGCTACTTATGATAATTCAGACTGTATCTCTAATTTCACAGCTGCCCATACATACTTGGCTCAACATGGTTCTGTATTTCACAATAAAGCTGATGTGTGTTAAAACTTTAGACCTCAGTTTCCTAAAGACCTTTCAGTTCTTGTAATTATATTTTGGAATTTTGTAAAAAAAATTATATTAATTCTGCACTTAATCAGTGTATTCAATACCATTCTTTGTAGACCTTATTACTTGCACAAAAATCACACTTTGGTATTTCTACTTTTTATTAACCTCTTTGACTACAAGATAATACATTAAAATTGTGTTGTTGGGAAAGAGGTTGTGAAAAGTGCTATTGTGAAAGAAACAACAGAGGACTAGAAAGAGTAAATTCCTGTTCATAGCTTGGTCACAGACTTACCAAAAGTTTTTCTGAGTATTTTATTATTACATTTCCAAATGTGTTATTTAAATCTGCCTTTGTCCACTTTCAGACTGAATTTTAGAAACACTAATAATTGCTGATACCAGTTAAAGAACTACAGTCAGCAAAGTCCACAGTTGTTTGGTATCCTTAAACCCACACACCTTCAAAATTTCTGAAAAGTGAAAGAAAATGGAAGTATATTTTTTCTAT